TCGAACCCGCGACCTCTGTACTACATGCCCGATATGGACGCATCGCTATCTACTGTACGATTAGATTAGATGGGGCGGCAGCGCACGGCACAGCTCGGGCTCCGCTGACACAGCCGCTCTGACTCACCGGCCCCCGGGGCCGCGTCGGCATGCTGCGCACAGACCAGCTGCGCACGGACCAGCGCGCACAGCCTGCCCTAAACATCCCCTGTATATAAACCGGCCTCTGCTGCCCTAGGGACCTCAGTTTCGACCTCTTGTCCCTAGGTCAGTAAGCTCCCACTTGTATCCCTTACTTACCTTTGCTAACTAATATACTTTCTTGTCCCTAGCCTTAGGTTTGAGCCTCGCTCACCATCGCTTCGGTAAGAACTAGTCGGACGCCCCCAGCCCTTCAAGGTTTTCTCCAGTCGCTCGACCTCAAGTCGCGACATTAGGTCGAAACTCCCCAAGCTGCCGGCGTCCCCTCGGGACCCCTTATATTCACTTTCCTTTCCCACAGGTCGGGTGGTGCGCACCCCTACGGTACATTACGATACGTAGATAGCCTACATTACATCGCCAACACTCAGGGAACGAACCTTTCAGCACCTGCACTTCAGTGGGCGGTGCTTGTCCTTAACCGGACGCGTGGACTAGGTTCCTGCTGCATACTAGCCAAAAGCAGTACTGGGCCCCACGTGAATCGCGAACCCTAGTGTCATCTCGGGCGCCGTAGGTGTAAGCTAGTCTACCACGGCCTTTTGTAGCACGCGCACCTTCCCGTCCTCCCCCCATCCATCGTGGCTGCCTGCCAAGGCCAGATCCACGCATTCGACTCCCAGGACCTCATCGACGTCTACATCCCAGACGGCCCTGAGACTATCCTCTATCGTTGCGAGCAGCAGCCGTGCCCCAATCGGACACCCCGATCGATCGAGGAGGATTACCCTCGCTACAAAGCAATCCGACGGGCTCAACACCCCCTCGGTCCCCGCAGCACCCTCGCGTCTCGATCTGCCTCGCGGCATTCTCGCCCTGTTTCCCCCAGCTCCCGTCTCCCTCAAACTGTCGTCGCCGATCCCGGTCAAGCGCGAGGAGATCTCCCTCCAGATCCTGCGCCAGAGCCTGAGCCTGAGGAGAGTGCGAGTGAAGAAGGAGTCTCGGAGTCCGAGTCCGCGGATCCTGCTCGGCCCGCCTCGCCGACAGCGCTCGCCCCCACGTCAGCAGTCCCTGACGTACGTGACCCCCCCACCGAACTTTCTCCGGCGCCTTCACCGCCGACTCCGCCGAGAGGCCACTCGAGCACTCGCTCCTCTCGAAGTTCAACCGGCGGAAGGCCACCACAGCTGCCTCCGCCCCCGCAACGTCCTCCGTCCCCCCCAACGCCGATAATGTCGTCCCCCGCAGCCGCCCTCGACAAGGAGACATTGAAACTCCTCCTCCCACTCCGATACGATGGCAAAACCGTCATCGACTGCGACAGGTTCTTGTCACAGCTGCGCATCTACTGGATGATCAACACGTCGTTGACCACCATCGAGCTCAAAGTACAGGTTGCGCTGAGCCTGCTCGACGGTGATGCCCGCGCTTGGGCCACCCCCTACTTCGCCCAGCTCGTATCGGTGCAGATAGGTGTGCAAGGGGCTATGACCCCATTCGCAAACGAAGCGGCCTTTGCCGCCGCCTTCAAGGCCCGCTTCGGAAATCTCGACGATGAGGCGGCAGCACAAGTAGAGCTGGCGAAGCTCTGCGCGGACAAGTCGGTCCGTGAAAAACGCACCGCTGCGGAATTCTCCGCGCTGTTCAAGGGTCCAGCGGACCGCTCTGGGTATGGGGACCTGGAGCTACGCGACAAGTACCTAAGCGGCATCCCCTCCCACGTATACCGAAAGATCGAGCTCGAGACTTTCACCACGTGGCAAGACGCTGACAAGCGCGCCACTGAGGTTGAGCAGATCCTCGACATTAGCCGGGCCCGTCGGCCCGAGCTAAATAACTTCTTCTCGGCCCGAGGTCGAGGACGCGGTGGGGCACATGGTGGTGCACCCTCGACGCACGCAGCTTCGGCCAGCATCAATGCGGCCGTCGGAAAAGGCAACTTCCCCGGCACATGCTTCGGCTGTGGGAAGCAAGGGTACCGACGCTTCGAGTGCCCCAATTGTAAGGACAAGCCTTACACAAAACGCGCCGACGCGCGGGCTACGGTTGCCTCGGGCTCCACCCAGGCTGCGACAAGCGCCCCCGTCACGACAACACCCTCGGCAAGTATAAGTGCCGCTTCAGCGAAATCCGAGCAATCGGAGCTGGCGGACTTAATGGCACAGGTGAAGTCGATGCGCGAAGAGCTCGAACACTATCGGGCGATAAAGGAGGAGGGTTTTTGATCTGGTCCGCGCTTCGTGCCGCACGTGTCGGGCCGGGTATATCATGTAATCGTTATAATGTATTGTCGACTGCAATGGTGTATGAGTTGGACCAGGGGTCCCAGCACTTTCACATTCCAGTTCGACTTCAAGGGAAAAGACGGCACAAGGACGTAATCGCTATGGTGGACAGTGGAGCCACCACGAAGTTTATCAACAAGCGATTCATTGTAGAAAATAAGGTGCAGACGCGGAAGTTGAAGGAACCAATTCCGCTGTATAATATTGACGGCACCCTGAATAAGGACGGAAGCATCTCGGAGGTAGCAGTACTACAGATGCATATAGGAGAACACGTCGAGAAGACGGTGTTCATGGTCACGGACATCGGTCCAGAAGATGTGATCGTTGGGTTGGATTGGCTACGTGAGCACAACCCTGAGATCGATTGGGAGAAGGGCTCCCTCAAATTGTCGTGATGCCCTGAAACGTGCAGTGCCAGAAGGACTGGCCGAATGGAGCCAGCAACGACTGCGCGTGATACGGGGGACAGGCCCACGGCGCGCAGGCGTTCGCCGAAATCCAAACGGTCGGTTATAGGTGCCTGCCGGAGTAAGGTACTCCCAGACTTCGAGCCCGAAGATGATCCGGTGGAGGTAGAGTGGGACGAAGCTAACTTAATCGAGGCCTGGGAGCAAGGTATTACGCTCCCGGGCGCTCCTCAGCTGTTCGTTGCAGCCGGGCATACGTACTCCCAGCTGTTCGCTGAGGAAGAAATCAAAAAGAAGGTCGTTAAGACCGCCGAGGAGTCGGTGCCCAAGCAGTACCACGAGTTCCTGAATGTCTTCTCCAAGGAAGCGTCAGAACGGCTACCCGAAAGGAAGCCTTACGATCACGCGATCGAACTCGTGCCCGGCTACTCGACCTTCCACTCTAAGGTATACCCCTTGTCGAACAACGAGCAGGAGGAGCTTGACAAGTTCCTAAAAGAGCAACTAGCGAAGGGCTACATACGGGAGTCGAAGTCACCCATTTCGTCCCCCTTCTTCTTCATCAAAAAGAAGGAAGGGACGCTTCGACCCGTACAGGACTACCGCCGATTGAACGCGATCACGGTCAAAAATCGTTACCCCTTGCCGCTGATCGCCGAGATGGTGGATAAGCTCCGCGGCGCTACACTCTTCACAAAGTTCGACGTCCGATGGGGATACAACAACGTCCGGATCAAAGCTGGTGATGAGTGGAAGGCGGCCTTCGTAACTAACCGGGGACTGTACGAACCCCTGGTGATGTTCTTCGGCCTCACCAATTCCCCCGCAACCTTCCAGGCAATGATGAACGAGATCTTCCACGATCTCATTGTCGGCGGCAAGATCCTTGTGTACCTAGATGACATACTCATCTTCTCCACCAACAAGGAGGAGCATGAAAAGGTCACACGCGAGGTTCTGCGTCGCCTTCAGGACAACGATCTATTCCTGAAGCCTGAGAAGTGCGAATGGGACGTTCCCAAGGTCGACTATGTCGGCTATGTGTTCAGTGGCGATGAGGTGGCGATGGATCCCGCGAAGCTGAAAGGAATCAATGAGTGGCCGGTGCCCCGGAACAAGAAAGACATTCAGAAGTTCCGGGGGTTCTCCAATTTCTACCGCCGCTTTATTAAAGACTTCGCTAAGATCTCGCGACCACTCGACCGGCTCACAGGGAACGACCCATGGCATTGGGGCGAGGAAGAGCAGCACGCCTTCGATGAGCTCAAGCGGCTCTTCGCGACGACTCCAGTCTTGGCGCTGTACGACCCTAATCGGGAGACGCGCATTGAGGTTGATGCCTCGGGGTACGCCACTGGCGGCGTGTTGATGCAGAAGCAGGATGACGGCAAATGGCATCCCATTGCCTTCAGATCCCATGCGATGGATCCGGTACAGCGGAACTACGAGATCTACGACAAGGAGATGCTTGCCATCATTGAGGCACTAGACGATTGGCGCCACTACCTCGAAGGGTTGCCCAATCAGTTCGAGATCGTTACCGATCACAAGAACCTCGAGTACTGGCGTACATCTCAGCATCTCACGCGTTGTCAAGCGCGGTGGTCGCTCTTCCTGGCTCGCTTTGACTTCCGCATCACGCACAAGGCCGGAACGTCGAATGGAAAGGCTGATGCCCTGTCGCGTCGATCAGACCATCAGATCGGCGATGAGGATGATAACACCGATCAGGTGGTTCTCAAACCAGAGCGCTTCCGCATCGCCTCCGCCCGGCGCGGTCATGCCTCGGTGACAGCCGATCAGTCGCTTCTGAAGCGCATCCGTGAATGTTCGGAGAAAGATCGGGAGGTAGCCGAGGCACTTGAAAAAGTACAGGACCTCGGGCCGCCCCGGCTGCAAAGGGGTTTTGATGAGTGGAATGCCGAACAAGGGCTTCTGTTGTTCCGCGGGTGCGTGTACGTCCCAAAGAACGCGGAGCTCCGGCGGGATATCGTCAAGATCCACCACGACTCGCCGATCGCCGGTCATGGTGGTCGTGCCAAAACCCTGGAGCTCGTGTCGCGGAATTACTGGTGGCCTGGGATGTCTAAATTCGTTAATGAGTACGTAAGCACCTGTGACGTGTGCAACCGTACCAAGACATTCCCAGCCAAGCCCCAGGGTCCACTGAAGCCGAACGAGATCCCCGAGCGCCCGTGGCAGATCATCACGACCGATATGATCGTCGGCTTGCCAAAGTCTGATGGATTCGACTCGATCCTGGTTACCGCCGACCGCTTCACAAAGCAGGTCCACTTCTCAGCCTGTCATGAGACCCTGACGGCAGAAGGTGCGGCAGACCTGTACATCCGCGATGTGTTCAAGCATCATGGGGCCCCGGCCAAGGTCATATCAGACCGAGGTCCCCAGTTTGCTTCGAAATATCTCCATGCGGTGTACAAGGGACTTGGAATCGAGCCGGCGCTGTCCACAGCGTTCCACCCCCAGACAGATGGCCAGACTGAGCACTGGAATCAGGAGATCGAGCAGTACCTGCGCGCTTTCACAAGCCACAGGCAGGATGATTGGGCAAAGCAGTTGCCGCTCGCGGAATTCGCACTGAACAACCGAGTTCACTCCGCGACCGGGCACTCCCCTTTCTTCCTGCATCAAGGGTACAATCCTGAGATCCAAGTGCGGATCAATCCGATGTCTGCGATGCCTGCGGCCGCTGATCGGCTCAAGATCCTGAAGGAGATTCGCGACGATACGCGCTCTGCGCTCGAGCTGTCGGCCGAGCGCATGAAGGTGTACTACGACAAGCACGTGCAGGAGGCACCGGTCTTCGCGCCGGGGGACAAGGTCTGGCTTGACGCTCGGAACCTTAAGCTGAAACAGCCAAGCAAAAAGCTCAGTCCCAAGCGCCTTGGACCTTATGCCGTGCGGCGAAAGCTTGGAGACCTGGATTACGAATTAATCCTGCCGAAGTCGGTGCCGGTACACCCGGTGTTCCATGTCTCCTTGCTTAGCAAGTACACGCATAGCAATATCCCGGGCCGGGAGCCGGAGGAGCCGCCTGCGATCGAGGTTGAGGGCGATGAGGAGTACGAGGTTGAGCGGATCAAGGATTCGCGGATCTTCCGGCGTCAACTACAGTACCTCGTCAAGTGGAAGGGTTATGACGACTCGCATACGTCGTGGGAACCGGCGCGCAATGTTGCCAATGCGCCGGCCCTCATAGCCGACTTCCACCGGAAGAACCCGAATGCCCCTCGCCGCCTCAATGCTGCTACCTTTGGTGGTCTCAACTTCCAGCCGATGCCTTCGCCGCTGACTGAAGCACGTTGCCGCTCCGGATGGGAGATGGGCAAGGGCGCCTCACATGAGGTTATGCGCCGTTGAGGGGGGGGTAATGTCACGAGTTGACACGGCGTCTAGCCGTTTTTTAATTTTTCCTTTTCACGGGCTCGAACCCGCGACCTCTGTACTACATGCCCGATATGGACGCATCGCTATCTACTGTACGATTAGATTAGATGGGGCGGCAGCGCACGGCACAGCTCGGGCTCCGCTGACACAGCCGCTCTGACTCACCGGCCCCCGGGGCCGCGTCGGCATGCTGCGCACAGACCAGCTGCGCACGGACCAGCGCGCACAGCCTGCCCTAAACATCCCCTGTATATAAACCGGCCTCTGCTGCCCTAGGGACCTCAGTTTCGACCTCTTGTCCCTAGGTCAGTAAGCTCCCACTTGTATCCCTTACTTACCTTTGCTAACTAATATACTTTCTTGTCCCTAGCCTTAGGTTTGAGCCTCGCTCACCATCGCT